ATGCTGTTTGGCTTAGGCTGTGGTAGACCAAGCACAGATTTCCCTCTGATGGAAACATTTATCATCGTGATTGCTGCAGAGTGGCAGGTGGTGTTATCAATTACCTCTTCTTACCAATAATAATATTAGTATGGTAATATCTTTGCTCATGTGAGAAGGAATTAGCGGTCAGTTGTCGCAGCTTTAAACGGAAGAAATTATGTTGAATTTAACCCCAGGATCCTCAAACAAAAGTTATGGTAAAAAAAAAAAAAAAAAAAAAGAGTGGGAAGAGAGACTGCTTCAGCTTGCTAGGAAGAGCAGGAGACGATGGAAAATAAAGTCGAAATAATTGCACGCCCTTTGAATAAAGTTGCTGAGCAAAATAACAATGAAATACAGCAGTCGGATTGCACTGAATGCCACATCCATCTTAACTGCATGTTGGCAATTTTGATGGGCTTAGGAATAACAATCTTGCATAAAGCGTTAAGTGTAGACGGAACTACTTCTACGGTCTTTGTGGAGTCGATCCTGCAGATAAACTTTCTGAAGGCTTACGCGAGGATACAAATTAAAGCAAGCCAGTAAGCAGGCATCCCATTCACGTCCATAATTAAAATAATAATAATAATAATAATAATAATAATAAAAAGAACAACGGAGTGCTAAGAAGTATCTAATACTATTAAGCAAGGGGGGGAGAAGAAAAAACGCCATGAAAGGGTGCGAGAAACACCGCAAGAGAAGACGGCAAGTAGCAGAGCGGGTTTAAGTGCGCAGAGCACAGCAGCTGCTGCGTCCCACCGCCGGCACGGCGCTTCGACAGAGCGGGGAGCGGACACGGGTGGGCGGCCCTTCCCTTGCGCGCACCCGGAGCGGCGCGCACAGATTTGCGCGGCTCAGCCTTTCGCCCCCGAATCGGCCGCGTTTCTCGTAGCCCAACTTCAGCCAGAGCGTCGTTTCTTATTCATTTAGATTCAAACCTCGAGTCAGGGAGATGAATTATAAAAGGCCGGTGGAAAATTTTTGCGGTGTAAACGGAGAGACGCGGGGAGGGGAGAGGG